TTCACCAAAAGTGAACTAAAACAGGACTAGTTACCTGAAGCACACGTGTAATGTTGTCTCCCACTGTCACTATACAAGCTGCTGGCTTGCACGTGCCACAGCACTCTCCAGGTTTCTGTGTGTACTTATAACCCTGTTTTGAAAGAAATAGAGAGGAAATTACATTGAGTCAGGACACTGACTTCAGCTGGTGGATATTTGAGCTGAGTGGGGTAGAAATTGCTGACAGCAAAATAGCACTACTCACCGCTGGGCAGTATGTGTCACAGAAAACAGGCTCGCACCTGACCGTAGCGTGGTAAGGGCTTGAGTAAGAGGATTCAGAGCAAGTGCATTCTTCACAGGGGCCCGATGGAATGAAAGCTCCAGGCTAGGAGAATTCAGAATAGAAGTCATGATTAGTCAATAAAAGCAAGTTACTTTGTCATAGACAATAAATACAAAGCTGAACTAATGTATGGGCTAAATTATCCTTAATTACAATTTTGGATGTTTTATTTAAGCAGCGTTTCTGTTGCTGGTTATATCCATTTTGGGACTAAATTCAGCTAATGCAGATATTCATTCTGGGATTAAATTCTGCTAATGCAGAAAGGAGAGCAGAAAATGCTTTTGCTTGTAGGGATGGTGTTGATCTGCTGACCTTGATTAAATAAGTAATAATGTTTTATCTCAGGCCTTTCTGCAGAATATGGTCCATGATAGGAGTCTCAAAAATTTTTGCATTGTGAGCCTATGTGAAGCTGTATTTTTATAGTGAGTTACTCTGTGTACTTACTGCATAGTAGGTTTCATTGACTACACAGCCATGTTCTGTAAAGAAGGAAGAAAGATGTTGTCATAGAGGTGCATGTTTTAAGAAGTTTGTGATAAAAAACCCTCTGCTTTGTTGGCCCAATAAGATAACAAAGAAAATTTGCATCTTTCTCTTTTAAAGTTTCTGTATTCATTAATTTAGGAAAATATAGCTGTGAAAAACACGTGAAGAAGGTGCGTAGTACTTACTGCATTGAAAGGTAGGACAGCATTTTCCAGGCTGCATTATTGTGACTACTTCCTGTCCCTCTAAGCACTGGGATGTGACCTCGGGGCAGAGGCTAGTGTTGCAGTCTGTTTAATGTAAGAGAATATAGAAAATAACGAACTCTGAATTTTTAAATGAAAATTATTTTGTTTTGCATGAACTTCAGAAGTTTTCCATTAGGGGAAATATGACGTTGTTTACACAAACTAGTTTAATGACTAATTAGCTATATTTGCCCAGCTATTTTTAAAGTGAAGGGGCTTTTCCATAATCTTTGTAAAACAAAGCATTGTCTGAGAAGAACAGAGTGGTGGTTGCTGGCAAGAGGTACTTCCAAAGAGAAAATTGTACCAACTGAGAAATCTGATGACTCTCAGAGGTTCAGGAACTTTCTTGAGCAATTTTTAAATGTTCAAGACTTTTTAAAGTTAAAATAATTTTTCCATACTGGTCTTTGAAACAGAAAATGCTTTGAACAGTTTTTGAATATTGTTTCAGGTAGCAGCAGCATTAAAGATTTTCAATGATAAATTACAGGAGATTTCCAGTTACTTTTCTGTGTCTAACTACGGAAAATCTTTAAATTTGTTCTCTTCAGGCACCTAGGAAATGGTCTGCAAGAAGGTCCTACAAAGTGGGATGAGGGAGAAAAGCATTAAGAAATCCATGCACAGCATTAAAAAAAATGAGAAATTATTGCTGTAGTTCTCCAAAATGATTATAGCGTGTTCCCCATGATAAAGAACTGAGACAGTACTTACAACACTCAGTCCTGGTACAGCATGGATCTTCTGGTATCTGTATCTTAACAGGCATGTAACCTGGTTCATCGCAAAATACTTGCTGTGTCAGAGAACATTTGTGTTTTGTACACTGCACTGTAAGAGTATTTTTGTCACAGACACATTCCTGGCAGTCTTTTGTCCATTTTTCTCCTGGCTATACAAAAAAAGAGAAAGAAAAAGAAGGAAGAAAAAAAATTACGTGTAAATTCAAACCAAAATAATTTTATTTGTTTCTAGTTGACATATTCATGGATATAGTGATACCTGATTACATCAGCCTTTTCATATTTCTAGCATTTTTAGATTTTTATAAGAAACCCTCAAACTGAAGCTAATTAGGGAGATACTGGATATTGGAGGCCACTGAAGGTTCTGAGCATGTTCACACAGGTACCACTTTCTGTGTGTTAGTAATGTTAATATTAGGGATACAAGAGGTCTAAAGGAGAAGTGTTTGAGCTTTGCATGCATTTTTGAATCAGAAATTATCATATGACATACTCATTTGCATGTTAGGTTACAGAGAGAAATTTCTGTAATTTGTGTGCAGCCCAGGAACTAAGAATGCAGATTATCAACATTCTCATTAACAGGTAAACTTTGTTATACATCTGTTCCTTCATCCCTAGTAACTTTAGTGAGCCCAAGTGAAAATAAAAGAATATGCCCAAGTTCCACTGTGACCATCTCTTTTTCTCTTTCTCCCCCCCCCCCCCCTCGTATGTGAGGTGATTGTTGAGAGAATATCCCATCACTTACTGTTAAATTTCTTCTTCTCTTGCACTCGTAATTATTTTTAAGACTAAAGGGGAATGAACATTTGAAAAAAACCTAAAGTCTCCCTCAACCTAATCAGAACTTTGGTTTTGTGAAATAACAAATATCCTCTCGCTGTGCTTGGTAAATAAAATATCATATGTTGATAGATAAAATATTATCTTGCCTGTGCTTGATAAACTGCATACTGATTGTGATACTCACCTGTCTGGATATTCCATTTGGTTCACTGCAAGCTGGAGGAAAAAAAAAAAAAAAAAGGAATGGAGATTTACGCCACTGAAAACTGACATATGGGAGTCAATTTGTGCAGTTCAAATTGAAATACTGTGAAGATAAAACTAAGAAGAAAATGAATATGCAGACTAGTGCTCCTGAAAAGTAGAATTCCAACATCTTGGTGGGAAAAAAGGTAATATTGATTATGATTCAATTTTTAGATGGGGAGCCTAAAGGAGCTTGAAGAAGCTGATTTGCCCATGATCTGGCCATGTAGAAGATGGCAGTAGAACACAGGCCTCCTGACTATCAATCCTGATCTCTCTGTGTTCCCCAAACTAGCTAGAGATTACTTACAGCATTCAGAGACACAGATGCTGCTGCCTTCGCTCAGGAGTGTCTTTCCTTCAGGACAGAAACATCCTTCAGTTACTCCGTAGCCAGGAAGATGAACAACACTAGAGTGAGAGGAATGTCTGTATTTGAGTACAATGTTTTTGTAGTGAAGCAGGAGAGAGAGCAGCATATGTAGAAGGTTGCCATGTCAGCATACGATGGAGACAAAAGAATTTACATTCTCTGAAGTGCAACTGGAAGTGCATATTCATAGAGCTGATTGATATTTATAAATCTTGAATAAATTATCCAAATTCACAAGACATTTCATTATGAAGTAACTCCATTTTCTAAGGAAAGTAGATAGGTAAAAATAGGAAAAAAGAAAAATACAAGCAGTTGTTTTGGGATGGGTTTTTTTTGTCTTTCAATACCTTGGGTCACAGGTAGCAGGATTAATTGATCCACATGGCTTGTATACCATGTTTGCTGGACAGTTGTATCCTGTATGGAAAAAGAAGAAAAAAGATAAGAAGTTGACAGTAGATGCATTTTTTGCAGCAAAAGTGATTACAGCTTTGCCTTCTTCATCTGCAGCTTCTGTGAGTAAGAATGTCACACTGATTTTGTAGACAGTGGCCAAGTGTTAGGTGTAAGATGTATTTACTAAATAAAACACCAATTACTACCATTTCTCACATACATTTTTAAGTTCTGCAATACTTACGGCATGTATTGTTGGTCTTTCCTCTCCAGTCAATGCAGACGCCTCTGGCAGCACACTCTGTAGCATACATCTCCAAACTGGAACACTGCATGGATTCCTCTGGCATGCGACATCCATCAAAAACACAGCCTTTGAAAAACGGTTCTGGTGGTATCACAGAATGGCATTCTGCAAAAGTCCTGTGGACAGAAAAGAAGCCAAATGCCTTTCATGTTGACCAGTCATTACAGAAAATCCAGCACTTCCCAGTTAATGGCACATGACTGTGCTTCAGGAAGGAATGTATTATGAGAACCAAAACCCTAAGAATGGCCAATAATCTGGGAGATAGACTCAGGAAAGGAAAAAGGTCAGGAAATTTGAAGCTCCTTTTTTTTTTTATTTTTTTTTTTCTTCTCTACAGAGGGTAATGGTCATAGCATTTCTGTATGTGTACATGACTTTTCATCAGTCTGACACCAGAAATTTCATGAAAAAGGCAACTGCATCAGATTGAGGAAAAAGTAAATGATAAAAGTATCTGAGAGACAGAAAAATTGCACATGCAATAGCTCATAACTTATTAGGCACTACAGCAAGCAGGCGTAAGAGGGCCTTTAGAAGTGATCCAGCTGAAAAAAAGCTTTTGTCAGAGCTCCCACAAGTATAGGAAGTACTGCAGGAAACAAGCCTTTGTGCTTTTGGAGCTCCGTGTTTTACATAAAATGTACAGAGTATGAAGGCTGCTTTTCATCTGAGATGTTTCTGTCTGCTCTGTTAACCTGTAGGTAACCCGGTTCTTTGCAGTTTGTACTGAAGGCCTACTTCAGATTTAGAGTTCAGTCTTTACTTAATAGACTAAGAGTGAGTGAGCATGCCTTGGAAGGTAGGGAGGAAGAAAGATAACACAAATCTGTGTGGTGGCAACCCAAGGAGTATGGATTTTAGCACTAGCTGCATCCCTGATTTTCTGACTTCACCTCTCCTTGCTCAGTTATCTTTGGCATGCAAGTCATCAAAGAAGAGCAGTTTCTTTTGCAAAGGCCTTTTATGGTATATATCTTGTCATTAAGTTGACATTTTCATCTATTATCACATGCTAGGGCTATAGTTCTTACTCTTTTGGTAAGATACTGAGACAGTTTTGTTTAGAAAGAGTGAGTTAATTCAGGTTTTTTCCTTACTCGCTCCAGATAAGCTTGCAGAGATGGGGCGTTTTACACTGAGGCTTTGGTGGAGGTGTGGTTACTGGTACTGTTGGTATTGGTAATCCATGGCATGACTTGTTGTTATCGACGATCCAGTGATGAGCCATTTGAGGACAGGAAGAAATGATCTTACCACTTGGTAAGCGGCATTCATCTAATACATTATTTGTACATGTTCCTGGAAGAGACAAGCTATGTAAGTCTCATGAGCCACATCAGAGATACCCAATATGTTATTGTGCTGCTATGTTTAGATATGATGTGCTCATGAAATGTATAAGGTGCTTTGCTTCATAGGGACTGCTTTCTTTACAGTTACATGAACTTTAATTTAGGTTAGGGAACACCAAACAAACCTAAAACACCAGCCCCAAATTTAAAAAACACAGGTTGCTTAAATATTGAGCTCTTGTTCCTACAGAAGTTGAAGGAGTGGAACTGATTTCATTTCCGTTTTACTGCAGTTTAAAAAATTCTGTAAATCATGAGACTGCATAGCCAGCGTGGGTGAGAATAATGATGATAGGGTG